CAGAAGCATAAAGCCATTGGCCACCAGCCCTCAAGGCCAAAGACAAAGGGTAGGTTGATTTCCTGGGTACTACCTTTGTGGAGAGATATCCAAACAGTGGTACCCCATTGCTATGTTTGACTCCCTGTTTCTCCAGAACTATCTGGTTTAGCCAAGAAGCCAGATGATGCAGAGGGGTCTTGAGTTTATATCAACCTATTCTTGGTTTCTGGGTCCCCGAAGAACCTATTTATCTTTTTCTTTTGGTCCTGGACACAGGCTACAAGGCTACAACTCCCCACCCCCAAACACACACCGCAGTTTCTTTGAGTGCCACATTCCCTCCGTCCAACCTCCTGGGAGGAAGAGGGTGCAATGCATTAAGTCACCAACACCTTCGTGTGAATGCTCTAAGCAGATTCTTCCCTCTGCATTAGCCAGGTGTTAAGAAAGTCCCCAGCGCTGAGACGGGAGGTTGCTGAAAAGAGACTGGAGCAGGGAGGAGAGCACAGCACCGAAGCCATGCCTGGTCAGTCCGATGCTCTGAGAACTATCTGGAAAGGGCCAGAGACCCTCTGAAGCTCTTTTTCAACCACCCATTCTCCAGGCCTAGAGAAAAACAGTGGCCCCTCCTGTGGTGTTTCGTCCACTGTCCCTGGGGATCGCGATGACAGGGTGACTAATGGGCTGGTGTGCAGGCAAGCCACTGCCGCCAGCCGGCCGCTGCAGAACACTGGCCTTAGGGTTCACACCAGGACACCGAGAAGCAAGCCCAGGTGGGTTCTACCTGTCTCGCCTTCCCTGGCCCCTCCCTGGCACACAATGCCCCATGGGGTCCACCTGCCCTGCTGCTGAGGTGCCTCTCCGACATCCTCGTGGTGTTAGCATTAGCATCCAACTTAGACATAGCAGCCATTAGTAAACTGAACAGCCCTCACATCTTACCAGGTACTTAGTACTCGCCACAGCCACCATTCACCAAGCAAGCCACACTCCATGGCCAGGCCTGACATTCACTAATTACGGAGCTGTTGTCCAGCTCAGACTTCCGCATATGAGGGCAGGGAGGCCATGGGGCAGAACACGGAGGTCTGCCGGGCTCTGAAGCTGGTTTCTCTGCTGCCTTCCACAGTAGTCTGCACCTCTCTGTCTCAGAAATCACCCTGCAAGGTCAGACAAGGACACAAGCCTGAGAGGGAGGGTCCAGGTCCACGTCAGCTCCGCCGAGAAATGGTGAGGGCATGCTTTGCCGGTGCCCCGCAGACAAGCAAGGAGCTGGGTGGCCTGCCTGCCGTGAAAGTGTGCACGAGTCTGACTGCTTCACAAGCCAGTGTCCTAGCTTGAAGGGCCGGGCTCTCATGCGTGGCGAGAGATGTATCTCAGGCTGAAGGAACGTCTTCGTTGCCTCTAAGAGCAGAGCCCAAGACAGGGTCTTTTATGCTTGGAGGAAGGCTCCCAGGGACACCTATGAGGACAGAGAGGACAGTGGACACAGGAAGAAACCAAGAGGATGTCCGATCTTTTCCTGATCTCAACGGGGACTCTGCCTCATGAGGCGAGGGGCCAACCGTTAACCTTTCATAGCTGTCAATCATTTGCTATGGGCTTTCCTGCATGGGAGGTGGGAAGGGCATTTTGGGCTGAGTGACAATTCCCTAGAGAATGGTACAGCTGAAAGCCTCAGCACCCAACATGCACAGCAGCTGGGGAATGCTGGCTGCTGTTGAAGGCCCTGGGCAGGACGCCATAGGCATCAGCTGGGAGCAGGGGACTCAGAAGGTGGGGTCATCATTGACTGACTTCAGCTGCTGCGAAAGTCCATGCTTCTCTCTTTCCCTTCTTCCTTGCAGATCTGGTAGTCCTGGGCCAGCTGGGCCCAAGTTTCTGGGAGCATCCAGTTTAAACTCTTCCAAGCTGGGACTGCTCACCCCCAACCCCTTCCGGCAGTCTGTCTGTGAGGGGATTCCCAGTGACGCACTCTGGAAGGCAGCGCGGAGCAGAGGCCCCAAGCCAGGCCTGGGGATCATGAATGAGGACAGACACACAGCCAGGCTGTTCCTCCTCACCAGCCGGAGCTGCGGCCCCCAGCAGGGTGAGCAGCTGCCCTCCTGAGGCAGCCCAGGCGGGCTCAGTGCCCAGCCCTTGATGGCCAAGAGCCGGGCTGGCCCAGCCCACACGAGAGGTCGTTTCTATAGCTTCAGGGGGACCCGGCTCCACGTGCTCTAACCTCCTCATCCTCGGTTCTTCCGAGCTACCTTCATTTGTTCTACGATTATTCTCTAAGCACAGATGGACCACAAACTGAGAGCCAGGAGGGTGAAGAATGACACACACAAGGACCTTCCCTCCATTCCAGATGGGGCGGGGACGACACACTAAGAGCAGAATGCTCTGAAGGTATCACGCCAGCAAGGAAACTGGATTCCTCTGTTTTCTTACAGGCCCGATTTTCCTCCAGGGTCGCCATCCTACAGTGGAACACACTACTTGCCAACCCATCCACCTTAAGAAAAGTCTTTCTCCTTAGGGGAGGTGAAAGATACAGAATTGAAGGCAATCATGCCTTCAGCCTCGGAGCAGTCTCTGCTCTTCCCACGGAGGGGACCCCTAGAGGGACCTCAGAGCAAAGAGCAGTCCCAATGTGAGAGAGCAGGCCCAGCACAGCCAGGCCTGGCCACATCCTCAAGCTTTTGGATTCCCAAACTTGCCTCTCCCACCCGAACCCTCCTCCAAGCTCCCAACCTACTAAGTCTTCCTGCCTGCTCTGCTCTTCCCACTAGACAGATTCGTCATCAAATCCATTTGTGCCATTGTTGTGTTTGGACTGATGAAACAATACAGATTTACTTCTCCCCACTCTGGAGACTGGGAAATCTAAGATCAATGTGTCAGCGGATATGGTGTCTGCTGGGAACCCTTGTCCTGGCTTGCAAATGACCCTCTTATAACCTCATGCGACAGAGAATAAAGAGAGGTCCTGTGTCCCCCACATTATCTTATGAGGACGCTAATCCCCTTCATGAGGCTTCCATCTTTCATGACCTCATCACCTTCCAAAACCCCAACCTCCAAACAGGAAGCTGGAAGGGATTAAACTCAACACACGTTTTTAAAGGACCATCAACACTTATTCCACAGCAGACTAATTCAGAGTGAGCTTAAAACCCAACAGTCCAATGTGACTAGGACTCTCTCTCCGAGCAGGGCTCCCAGCAGCCCTCTCGGTCCCAGATGGGGACACTAGTGGGCTGCTTCCTCTTTCCCAGCCTCTGTTGCCCAGTTCAGTGCCAGGTCCCATTTGCTGCCCCAACAGATCCTTACTCCTTCATGCCACATCCATTGCCCCTCCCAAGCCCAAGGCGAAGCTGTTCCCCAGGCAACAGAAGGGGTCACCTGTAGGTTCCACCTACACTGCTCCCCAGTCAACCCTGGAACTCAGAAGGAGCCTTTAAAGGGCAACTCTTGTAACATGCACTCTTCCTGCCAGCCGCCTGGGTCCCGCAGCTGTCTCAGCCCCCAAATAACACATGAAACACTATATTAATTATGAAGCTGTTGGCCATTTGCTATGGCTTCTTAATGGCTAGCTCTGACTTAATTATTAACACATAATTACTAATATATATTTCTATAAGGACTTATGTTTCTGAGGATGCCCTTTCCTCCCGGGAGATCACATGGTGACCCTCTACCCTTGACTACATTTCCCAGAATCCTCCTTGACTCCTAGTCCCACCTGTCTTGCTTCCCTATTGGCCAACAGTGCTTTATTCATTAACCAGCAAGAGAGACATATATACAGAAGGACTTCTCCCATCACACTCTCTTGTTGCCCCTCACAGAAAACCCTTGGACGATTCCCAGTCCACTGGGATCTGGTCCTACCTGTCTCTCTGGGATCACTGTCTCTACAGTTGGCACATGCCACATTCTCCACACCTCTGCTGTGGGTCAGTCCCTCTGACTCACCTGACTTACCTGTATGGGGCCTCTGTGCCCAGGTTCAAATCCCCAGAGTTCTTACCCCGCTCTTCTGGTTGATTGCCTCTCAGGGAAGCTTGGAGGTTTGGACTCAGGCTAAATCCCTGCAGCCCACCATTCCATGCAGGAGTCTGTCTGATCAGTGTGTCCCCCAGTCGGATTCTTATCTGTTTATCCCTTGATAGAGCATTGCAGTTTGTAACCTGCTCTGCCCTCAAACTCACAACGTTCCAGTCTCAGCCTCTGAAGTCCTCAGCTCCCCACTGGACTTTAACTTAACTTCCTGGAGGATGTGCCACTCGCTGTTTTATTAACCTAAATTAAACCCCGAAGGCCTAGTACACTGCCTGGCACAGTGTAGATGGTAACTAAGTATTTTCTGTGTAGCCTGAATGAATAAAATCTTAAATGAGCTCATAGGATGAATGAAACATTACCCTTATCCTTTAGTGTTTCATTCTAATACCCCTGCCGCATCTTGGAGAATTCTGGAAGTGGGGCACTGACCCTCTAGGGACACTTTTTTTTCCATCCTGGGTATACAGGTCCAAATTCCCAGCCACCAGGAAGTTCCATTCTGGCAGGAAGTGGAACGAATTTGTTTGCTAATCAAGCCAGGGGCTCTCCGCCAGGAGCCCGAGTAGAGCCAGGCCAGCCTCGCAGGAGCCCACAGATTCGGTTCACTCATTACTATGTTTCCTTTTGTGTCGGCCTAGGCGGTGCCTTCATCTCCCAGCCCCTCTGCCTCTCTTCACTTTCTCCCAGTCTGGAGAGAAGTTTTCAGCTGCAGCCCAAGGCAAACAGACAGACAAGGTGAGTCAGTGGGCCCGGGACTCAAAAGGCTCTCTGCGCTCCGCGCTGGCCACTGCACTGAGCTCTCTGCAGACCTAGAGTGGCAACAGTCCTTCCATGTGGCTTCTCCTAGTGCTTCCTGCCTGGATAGAAAGGAGGCTTGGAGAGATTACTGAGGACTGAGATTATTTAGGAGGTTAGGTGTCAGCTGACCATGACCTACAAGCCAAATACAGACCACCACAGGGTGGGGTGAACGTTTTATTAATACAGATCTGTGTTCTTTTGTTTACTCATTTGCCTATGGCTGTTTCTGTGCTACAGTGACAGAATCCCTATAATCCAAAAGGCCAAATAAATACATATACACACCCACATATATGTATATGTATACATATGTGTGTTTATATTTGTGTATGTGTATATAATATGGCCCTTTATGTTTATTTTTTATGATTTGTGTGTATGTCTGTGTGGCTATAAGCATGTGGGCGCAGTGCCTGAAAAGGCCACAAGAGGGCATGGGTTCTCCTGTGGCTGATACTGCAGGAATTTGTGAACCACCCAACATGGGTCTTGGGAACTGAATTTAGGTCCTCTGCAAGAGCAGCAAGCATCCCTAACCACTGAGCGACCTCTCCCACGATCAAGGAATCCTTGCCCAGCTCACCAGAGACCACAGTTACTGACTGCAAGAAAGGCAGGAACACAAACCCATTGAGCATTAGAACCAGTCTCTCCAAGAGCAACAAATGCTCTTAATGGCTAAACCATCTTCCCATGCCAAAAAAAAAAAAATGCCAAGCCCCTATTTCAGTCCCCTGCCTCATGCATCAGAGTAGTTTGACCTGTGCTTCCAGAGAGCGTGTCCCACTGTCTGTTGAGCTGTTTGACATGGGAATGGCTCCCATGTAAATGTGAGCTTGACCAATCTGACTCATTCCTGGGGAATTTGGACTAAAGCGACCAAGAGGCCCTTCTGCTAGGGGAATGGATGCTGTGGGCTTTGAGACTGGTGACTGTGACAGGAGAGGTTATGAGACAGGTGTTCCTCATTAGAGGGAAAATTAGAGTCAGAGGACCTGTGAAGTTTGGCCTTGCCTGGTTCTCTAAGAGAAAAGAGAGAGGCTTTGGTTCCTAAATGTTCCCCAGTTCCAGCTCCATGAGGACAGTTGTTCCCTTCCTAGATCACCTTGGTCTTTGGGGGTTGTATTAAAAAAGTAAAAGAAAAGAAACGAAAGCAAGCTGCCTTAAGAGGGCTTCACTGCTAGGTATATATTGACTCATTAACCAAAAAGTCCCAGCGTACTTCAGGCTCAGCTTGATCCAGCAGCTCAAATGATGTCGTCTGTGACCCCATGTTTTTCAGTCGCTCCATCCTGTCTTTTGCAAGGATGGCTTGACCCTCAGTCTCTGCTCTTTGTCCCGTATATGGCCACTCTGGAGTCTTCAAGATGGCTGCAGCAATCCCAGACCTCACAGCCTCATGCCAACCTGAAAAGTGGGACGCAATCCCAGCAGCTCCCTCCACTTTGGGGCTTGATACCTTGGTCGTGATCTCTGAAGCAATGGAGATAAAAATGCTATTTAGATCAGACACCCCATGGCTTGCTTCGATTTTCCCATTTGCAATAACAACTGCTTATTGTGATACAGTTCCTGCAATGTTCATCCCACACGTTACCTCCCCTAAAACTCATAAAACCTTCCAAGGCACTTAACCAGGGCAATCTCTACTTTATTAATGAGGAAACGAGAGCTCAGAGAGTATGGCCACCTTACCTGGGGTCACACAGCAGCACCTGACAGTGCTACCGGTATCCAGGAGTTTAAAAAGGCCTGTGAAATTCAGGACCCTGAGCTCCTGACTCCTGTGTGTCTGCCTTTTACAGCAGGGGTCACTTAATAGTCGCCGACTGCACCCCATTGCTGCTCTTCTGTCACCTGTCACTATCCTCTGACCAAGGTCCCTAGCACACAGGGAGATGTTTTTTGTTCAAAGATCACAAGCTTTAGACTAGGTTACTCAAAAGTCCTGTTCCCACCTCTGGGTTTCTCTGGACTTTATTCTCATCACCACCTCGAGCTGTTTCCATGGAAACTGCTGCGCTCCTGCATCCCTTTCATCCTTCTTTCTGGGAAGCAAGGCCAGCTCTCTGGCACCCTGGTAGCCAGGCCTGACCATTATGAAGACCAAAGAGGCAATATCTGAAAGAAACATTTGCAGGGAGAGGGAGGAACCAGGACACGCTCCTGGGTTTTCTTTGAAGTGCTCCAAAATAACACCAGGTGCTCTGAGGAACTCTGCCAATTACTGGGGCCCACTATGGGTTGCAAGGTGTTTGCCATCCCATCTCTGGCATCTCATAGTCACATTCCTCCCTTCCTGGGGACCTGGGACAGAGGGCTCATGGGGGAAAATCTGCTTACCGTGTCCTTGCGTCAGTGACAGTCCTCAGAGGGTACAGTCAGTGGGATGGCAGGAAGGATCCAAAAAGCAAGGCCTAATCTAGTCACTGGAGGACTTCTGGACACTGGGAGACTTGATACGTGACTCTAGTGGCCAAGGTCTAAGGAGTACTTCCAGGATATTGCCCAGGAACATGGCATCTGACACACAAAGGCCCTGGTACCTGAATGAACCAAAGTAACCTCAATTATCCCATCCTTCTAAGCCCTGCTTAAGCATTGCTCTCTCTGAGCCTTGATTTCCTTATCTTGAAGACAGTTCAAATCTTATATAGAACATCTTGGAGGGCAGCCATGTGAGCCAACAAAGTATGATCCAGCATAACCACCGGTGAGGACATATACAGACACCGATATCCACCACTGTCAACTACCACCACCGTCATTCTCATCAGAGCTGTTACAAAACTCAAACAGAAGACCTCGGAAGATCTCAGACACTGGAAAATCCTCACGAGCTTCAGTTCTTTGAGAAGCAAGCAGAAAGCGTGGTTTCCATGTCACCGCTTTCAGATAAAGTCATTGGCACTCTGTTGCTCTGCCCTTGCTTCAGCTTCTGGGCAAGGCAATCTAGACAGCTTCCCGACCTCCAAGCAATGCCGAGCTTGGAAAAAGCACAGTGTCTTCTCATGGGCCCGAAGCTCCCCCATTCTGTTCACTGAAGCTGTTTGGGACCATGCAGTCTCTCATTGCCCCTTCCCACAGTAGCCCCAGGATCTGGAGGGGTTTTCCACCTCAGGGGAGCCAGAAAAGAAACCAAACCTGGGCAACCCTTTCACGTTAGTGGCTCAGGTGGAGGTGGAGGGCATTCTGGACATGCTAAGCAGACAGGAGGAGTCTGGCTCCTGGGTTGCCAGGTGTGGGCTAGGGCTAGTCTTTCAATTTTCAAGAAAAGTTCCTCTTACCCCATGTTGATACCAGTATCTGCTTTTCCATTTAGCCCAGACCACACACAGGATTCTTGGCGGCGAACTCTTGACGACTGGCAGGTGCCTTGGGTGCCCCAGCTGCTATTCTGGAAACAGTGGCTGCCTCGTTTGCCCCTGGACCTCACTTTGGCGTTCACCCTTTCAGTAGCAGCTTCACTGGGGGATGCAGAAAGTTAAGACTCTGCATCTGGAACAGCCTGCAAAGGCTCGTGTGTTAAGGGCCTGGTTTCCAACTCAGGTGGGATTTGGAGCCGGGAAAGTGATTGGATGGTAGAGCTCCAACTTCATGGATGCGTTACTGCACTGGCGGTGCAATAACCGACCATTGGAAGGTGGTAGAAACTGGCGGCAGACTGGGCTGGCTGGGAGGCAGCAAGTCACCAGGGTGCCAGTGGGAGGCTGTGTCTTGTTCCAGCTTTGTTTCCCTTCTCTCTCAGCCTCACTTCCTGACCAAGGCTCCCACCACGACATTCTGCCTCACCACCACCCACAGGCAGAGAACCAAAATGCCTACAGACTAAAACCTCCAAAACTGTGAGCCAGCATAACTCTTCTGTCCTTTCACTTGACTCCCTTGGATGTTTCGTCACAGTGATGGAATGCCGGCCAGCATTCTGGTCCTTGCCCAGCTGACCAGCAACCACAAGCACTGGCTGCGCAAAGGACAGGAACACAAACTTGCTTAGCCCTCAGCAATTCCAAGATGGCAGTACCCACGCTCCCATTTTACAGGCTAGGAAAGCCGAGGCACAAACAGGCCGTGTAATCCAAACACGGTCGCAGAGGGGTTTTTGTGTGTTTTTGTTTTGTTTATTTGCTTGTTTTAGGAACCAGACCCGAGGGGCTTGATTCTAGAGCAACTGTTCCTTAGAACCGAGCCTTCTTTCCTCTTCATAGACAAGACTCAGGCAAGGTGCCTCCAGTTTGCTAACTTCCAAGCCCCGGCAGCAAAGGAGCCTGGGGTACTGAGGCCTCAAACGCCAGCTTTTTCTGCCTCTTCTTCCCGAGTCTGTTCCTGAGAATAACCTCTAATCCATCGGGCTTGGGCAACCCATGAGCAGCTTGGGAACTCGGGCTCTCCGTTGTTGCCCTTTGAGGTCAGCTCAGGGCTGCCCCACCTGCCGCCCGCTCCTCTCTGTCCCGCCCCCAGGTTCTCCTCTCCCCCTAGCGACCTGCTTTTGATTCTCACCTCCTTCTCTTTTGCTCTCCTTTCGAAGGCAGCTCGGCTAACACTCATTAGCACTTGTTAATGAGCACCAGTTCGTGTCGCTGTCCTTCTTTTTAGGGGCGGGTGCTGCTTTCACTCCAAGGGTAAGCTGTCCACGAGGCTAGCACACGCTACAGGGCCGACACCTTCGGAGTGGGGAGGATATGGGAACGCACCAGGCTCTGACTGAGGGCCCCGGAGGTCTAAGAGGAGCTCACAGCATCCCTGCTTCAGAGTTTAATGTCCTCTCCCAACTGGAGTAGACACGTCCCTACGACCATGACCCTAGGTGGATGTGATTGACATTTGGAATTGTAGCCTCCAGTCTGCCAATCCCTGGACAAAAGAGTCCCGAGAGAAAGCCCAGGAGGGGAAAAGGGAGGAATCGATTCCCACAGGGGAGCTCCTCCTTCTGCATTCCCATCTGAGTCCTCCCTGCTCCCTGCAGATTCCAGCTACCCACCTACAGAAAGAAGAAAAGAAAAGAAAACCTTGAAAACTCCTGCAATTCTGCCCCGCCCCGTCCCCCGCCCCTCCACCCCTTGCGGGAGTAAGAGGGCGTGAAAAGAGTTTTGGGTTCGAATCTTAGCTTTGCTACTTTAGTAACGTTACTGCTGAGTCCAGTAATTGGAAGTCCTGAAGATGGACAGGGAGAAAGGAAGGCAGGAGCAGCCTCTTCCATTTCCACCGAAAAGCCTGTGGTGTTCCCAGAAGGCATCCAGGAATCTCTTTGAGCCCTGGGAACCCTGACAGAGGAGTCCTGGGCCCCCGCCCATGCAGCGCCGCGCCCTATGAGATTCCCTGAGTGTGCGCGCCCCCTGCCGGCGGTCCGATGCGGTGCAGCTCCGGGCAGCCTATAAAGGCAGCGTGGCGCGCAGCCCCAGAGCGAGAACCAGAGCCTAGCAGCACCGAGTGACAACGCTGAGAGGCTTAAGATCTCCAAGAGCGGCTCGCCATGGCTGGCCCGCAGCAGCAGCCCCCTTACCTGCACCTGGCGGAGCTGACAGCATCCCAGTTCCTGGAAATCTGGAAGCACTTCGATGCAGACGGTCAGTAAATCTCCCAACTTCTGGGTCCGTTGACCCCCGGGACCTGAGGTTGGCAAAGGGGTTAGGGGCATGGCTCAATGTGAGCAGGTGTGCTTTGTCCCTCACGAGGTTTGTCCTGGAGGCAGATCCTGCTGGGGTCTTGAGTTTGGGAAACGCCCGACTGCCTTGGTGACAACTGTCAGTAAGTTTTTCCAATGCAGGGTGCCCAGGGTCCACGTTCTGAGCAAGTCAGAGCTTTTCCACAGAGGAGAACTGGGCAAAAAAGACTCCCCAAGATTCCCCTGTCTCCTTCCCCACCTTTCCCTTCAGCCTAACGCCCTGCCGCCCTCCCCATAGCCACAGGTCTCCAAAACCCACTCAGTCCTCCCTATCGCTCCTTATCCCATCGTCAGTACAGGAGACAGAGAAAGCTGGACATTCTAAAGAGAAACTCAGGGGCCTCTCCTGAAGCTGGGGTCCTGGTTGGCTAGGAGCAGGAGTAGAGAATGGATCTGGGGCTCTTAATAAACCGGGACTTCATGACCCCTTTTCCCAACCCCACCAGTATGCGGGGTCCCCAACTACAGAGCAGAGGGTGTGGTAGGGAGGCTCCTGAGGTTAAGCCTGGTGGTAGAGACTCGGGTACCCTGAGTGACTGTCTGTGGAGGGGGGGTGACTCTCTTAAACACCCCGCTGACCAACACTTTGCTCTATTCGGTCTTCGCAATGACCAACCCCAAAAGTGAGGTCCAGGTGAATGGCTTTGGAGGCGGCTCCCACACCTGCGATTCCAAGTGTCTGCAAAGAGCACGCATACCACCACCCCAGCGGGCCCCCCCCGCCCCCCCCTCCGTCTCCCCCCTGCCCCCACTCCCAGCTTCTGCTATTACTGGAGACTTCTATCACTCAAAAAAAAAAAGGAGGAAGAAGAGCCATTTCAATCCACCCTCCAATGCCTTGGCTAGGGTGAGCACCCTAGCATCTCAGACCTGTTGGCAGGGTGGTGGCTGAGGGGGGGCTGGAAATTATCTTAGCAGTTGGCAACTCCCTGAATTCTCTCCCTCCTCTCCTAATCCCCTGGGCAAGGTATGAAGATGGGTGTGCAGAGATCCTCTGCTCCCAGTGCTGTGGCAAGGAAAGGGTTAGCATCAGAGGATGCCCATGGGTGAGGTTTTGTTTCCCTGGAGGCAACTGAGGAAGCTGGAGGTGCTGAGGACTATGTATCAGGATACCTGGGGTAGGACGGTGATCTGCCTGAGAATTACTCAGGGTGGTGGCTCAGTTGCTCAATCTGAAAAATGGGGCCAAGGAGGGGATGCATTTCATTCCCCTGCTCCTGTCACCCAGGATGGGAAGGGCTCCAGCAGCATTGCAGCCCATTGCATTGCTTGGGGCATGCTTTGGCCAGTGTATCTGCACCAGAGACTTGCATGAGTCAAGGAAAGTTACCAAGCTGTCAAGGTTATGCCACTGGCCTCCTGCTAGATGAGTCAGCTATAAACAGCCGACCCCGAGTCTACTTTTCTCTGGGGACAGCGAGTAACCCTCTCAATCATCATGAAAACCTTATGATAAGGTCTGTGCTGAGACACTGTGCATTTTAAAAACAGTTCCGCCCTTTTGAGTCTCGCTCTGGGATGCTTCTGGGTGGACTCCCCTGGTGTAGATGAGGAAGCTGACACGGGGGACTTGGTTGGCGATGCTGGCTTCCAGCTGGGACCTATGTCCCCATTCAAGGGGACTCCCCCCAGGGTAGGAAGAGGGGTTTTTCTACAAGGTAGTAGTATCCCACGAGAGATCCTCAGGCCAGTTTTGGGGGTGGCAGGTAATCCTTTTTATCACAGATTCACCCACACACCTCCTCAAGCAAGTCCCAAGTGGGACCAGAAATAAAAGCTATGTGACCCACAAAGTGCATATGTGGACACCCTGAACTCCCACTGAGGAATCTAGAAGTAAGTTTGGGACTACCTTTCTCTGTACCTCTGCGATTGACCTTCTCCTTGGCCTCTTGAGGACCCCAAGGCTGCAGGTGAGCCCAACAGCTCATCACCTGAGCTGCCCTGGCCCTGTTTGACCCTTTCTCTCCCTTAGCTGCCCTGGCTTCTGTTTGTAACTTACGGATCCATTGCAAGAGGTTTGCTACTCAGTTCCTTAAAGATCCCTGGGAGACTCTCCACAGCTCACAGGGTCCCTGGAGTGAGCTCACTGGAGCCCAGTTAATGACAGGCACCAGGGAGAGGAACCACCTCCCTACCACAAGACCTTGGTCCAGTGAGAGCAGGGGGTGAGGGCTGGGTCTGGGAGTGGTGACCCTTACCCAACCTCTTTAGAGTCAGAAAGGAGTGCTATCTAGTTCCTTCATCCAAAAAAAAATGTTTTCAAAAAGGTCACTAGCAGTGGGGACTGGGAGAGCAGACGTTTGAGGAGTGGGAGCCTGGGCAGGAAAGGGCTAGAGAGTTCTTCTAGTCTCCTTTACAACCACAACTGGCCCTCCTTGGCCACCAAGGGTAGGCACTGGGAGCCATCAGTCCCTCTAATGCATCAGTATCAGGCATCAGTGAGGTGGCAGCCAAGTTACCCCATGCCTTTTCAGGCTGGGGGCTCTTCTACATCACCTCCACACTCTGAGAGACACAATGTCTAAAATCTTCACTCAGTTGCTTCCTGGACACTTTGTCAGCAATTGTTTGACTCTATAAGATCCACGTGGCCATGAGACCTGGTAGCACGAGCCTATACCCAGCTGCTCAAGATGAAGACTGCAGAGTCATAGACTGTCTGGGTTATAGAATGAGTTGCAGACCAGTCTGGGCAATTTGGTGAGACTCTGTCTTAAAATAAAAAGTAAAAAGAGATGAGGAATGAAGTTCAGAGGTGCAGTGTTTATCTAAATGTTTGTCTAGCATGCACCAGGCTCTAGGTTCAATTACCAGCAACTCAGTAAGAAAGGAGAGAGAGGGGAGGGAGAGAGAGAAAGAGACAGAAGGGGAAGGAGAGAAAGAAAGAGGGAGAGGGAGGAGGGAAAGGCAGAAAGAGAGGAGGGGGGAGAGAGGAAAGAGAGGGAGGGAGACAGAGACAGAGGAGGAGAGAGACAGAGAGAGGGAGACAGAGAGAGAGGGAGAGAGAGAGACAGAGAGACAGAGAGAGGGAGAGAGACAGAGAGACAGAGAGAGAGGGGGAGAGAGAGAGAGGGAGGGAGGGAGACAGAGACAGAGGAGGAGAGAGACAGAGAGGGAGGGAGAGAGAGGGAGAGAGAGAGAGAGAGAGGGAGGGAGAACCAGGTGGCTGAGAGTTGGACGCCCAAGTCAGAGTGCACATACCCTCTCTGTGTAGTTCTGACGGATGCTACCAGGCTTCTAGTCCACTGGTAACCTGTGAGGAGCCAAGCTGTGGGAAGAAATAGAAGGGTTCTTGCCAGTTTCTAGAATCAATTAGAATGCAAAAGAGAAAGAGGAGCACACTCCCAGGAGCAAGTGACATCCATGGACCAAGAGAGGCATCACTCGGTCCAAGCCTCTATCCTATATAATACATAGGTTACATATCATATCCTATATATAAAATAGGATCTATGTAACCTACATAATATAGTACATTTGTAGAAAGGTATATAAACTATAGAGCCTATTAAAGGAGTTATTTGAAACTAAACCTCCAGAGTGGATTATATTCAGCCCTACTGTAGATTATATTCAGCCCTACAGTCATCAGAGTGGCGTTGAGTCTGTGAAGACGTGGGGAAGTGCCCCCAAATGTGCTACTTTTAAGACTATAGCGAAGCACAAGGTCAGCTGGTTTTTACTATGTAAGAAGGAAATAATCTTATGGACATTTTCTATCCCCAAAGAATGTTCACCTAGCTACAGGTCTGGAGACCTCCTCAGAGTCTTCTGGGCCTTGTCCACTTTCAAATGGCCTTGGTGAGCTAGCTTCTCAAAGCCTTTCCCAAGCACCTGAGTCTTGTTCCTTGTCTGTGTGGGACTCAGAGGTCCCCTACACTGAGGACTTTGAAAGCTGATAATAAAAAGAACCATACAGTACTGAGGAAGACTCTGCCGGGCTCTTTGCTCTCTCCTAAACCCAGTGTTTCTAACAGCAGTGTCCTGCAAACCTATGCACCACCGAGGACCAGAACCAGTGCCCAAGCAGGCCCTCCCAGAGCCCCACACACTGCCAGGTCTGAGCCTAGTGTGTGTGTGTGTGGGGGGATTCGAACAGCATCACCTGCTAGAGGCTGGAGAGGCCTGAGAAACAATGCTGGGATAGGAAAGAGAGAAGCTGGGAATGTAGGATTCCATCCCCACCAACACACACACACACACACACACACACACTGACAGCTCAGGGGACTTTAAATGGGAAGACTTGCGAAGACAACGGTACGAGATGCACAGTAGACATTAAGCAATGACTACTGTGTCTACAATTCAACAGAACTGCTATTCATAAGCTCCTAATAGACTCATAGAAGCCACAGGGGAGAGGGGCTGTGGAGATGACTTCAGGATAAAGTGCTGGCTTTTCAAGCACGGAGACCTGAGAAGCCACATTTAAAAATGGTGGTGCACGCTTGTAATCCCAAGGTGGGGATAGAAAGGTGGGACCTGGGGGCTCCCAGCCAGCTTCAGCTCAGCAAGAACAAAACAGACAACAACAACAAAAAGATGGATGGCACCTGAGGAATGGTAGTCAAGGTTGCCCCCTGACCTCAGACACACACACACACACACACACACACACACACACACACACACACACACACGCTGGGTCAGTTCACTGCAGTCAGTGGGGTTTAGGTCCGGGGATGAAGATGTCTTTCTTCTAACCCTGTGGCGGATCCTTGTAGACATTCTGGCTGGTCGGGAAAGCCTCTTGCCTCACTTGGGGCAGCTCCTATGCCTGGTCCCCTAGTCCCTTTCCCAATCACTCTAATTGATTCACTAACGGTTCCCTTTGGTATGGAGTATATGCACATATCCTCTGGGCAGCCATCACCTTGTCTCTTGGACTGTGATTGCACCAGCCAGGAGTAGGGAGGCTGGGTCTGTGAAGAGCTGGGGCTCCCCGGGGAGGCAGGCAAGGAGCTTGGCTGAGGAGATGTGTTTGTACTGACAAGATACTTCAGCAGGCTTGGCCAGGCAGCCACCAACCCAGGTGCTCTATGCCCCTCCCTTGCTTCATCTTGCTTATTCGCACTCCAGGCACAGGCGCCTTTACTAGCAAGGTCCTTGGGGAGGTTGCTGAGGCTCAGGAGACCCCTCAGGGAAATCTTCCCCAATTCCCACAGAACCAGAATTAATAGAGCAGGCACTAGACTCTTCAAGAACAGCGCCTCTGCAGGGCTTGGCCGGCGGGCATCCCTCCTGGCGATTGCATCAGATGCCCTCCTGTGCCCAGCCAGCCCCATCTGGAGCCTCAGGCTCTGGCCTGCTTCCCTCCTCTTTGGCTCTCCGCAGTCTTACCTCTCGCTCAATCTGCCCCTTCCTTCTGGCCTCCGCATGCCTGGGACTCAGCCCAGCGTCAGGCTGCCAGCTGTCCACAGGTTCGGGGGACCCATCCTAGCTCCTGTGCCCCATTCCAAAGTAGCCCGGCCCAAGAGCAGATTAAAATGGGGATACCCAGACATTCTTCCATGAGCTGCAGATCCGGCTAGGGTCTCCCCGCCCCCAGGAGCCACTGGGAGAGGTGTGGGAAGTACGGGTGATGGATAGAGAAATCCAGGCAAGTACAGCTTGGACAGACCTTATCCCTGGGATGAGCAAAAGGATTGTGACCTCTGTTAGCTGTGTGATAGAAACCCCCAACACCAAGTTCTCTTTCTCAAGGTGGGATTAGTGACACCTGTCCGTTTGCCTGGCAGCAGCCTAAGAAAGCAAGGCAGGAAGTAGAACCTTTGGAAGTGGCCAGTGCCTGCTACGCGGACTGACTGACAAGCCTCCTGGGCACACTTAACTACACGAAATCAGAGAACACCCGAGGCTTAAAACAGATCCGTGGACACCACACCCAGTGAGAGATTCAGAAAGTGGAGGGAGGGGGCTGTGATTCTGCCCCTTTGGGGGGGTGGGGCTCAGGAATCAACCCTAATGTCTCACACATGCTTTGTAACACTCTACCGCATTTCTAACCAGCTCCATTTCTAACCAGCTCCCGGGTTACCGCCAGTCCGCACTCCACGCAGGCGCAGTCAGCCCTTCCGTGCTACTCTAAAGTTACCAAACTAAACTTTTCACTTTAACAAGATCCCCAGGTAATGGTTATACACCTCCATGTCTGAGATTTACTGCCAGCCTTGGGAGCTTGGAAGCCAACCGCACCCCTTCAATTAAATCAGAAAACCTGGTGTAGAGTGCAGGCAACAGCGTCGTTGTCGAAGCTTCCCAAGGTTCCAGTTGAGGACCAGCACCCTAAAGAGGGCAACGGTTGTCAGAAACCCCTAGAGCTGAGGAGGCGAGGCGATGAAGCATGATGCCTTCCGTTTATACGAGATGTTGCATCTCCCAGGATGTTTCCAAACATTACTGTGTATGGCTCTCATGATGAACCCATAAAGTAGAAAGGGTTTGAGCAGTTTCGCCACTTGAGAGAGAAACCGAGGCACAGAGGAATTGACTTGTTCTAGAGCAAAGGACAGTCGTGAAAGCGGTGTTACAGTCCCTCCTCCTCCGTGGGTACCTCTTGCCAGATCACATCAGAAAAATCTGTACACACAAACCTCAGGGAGGAACAAATAAACCTTTCTGGGGTACAGCATCCTTCAGTCAAGAATTTCCAATCCCCTGTGGCCAGATTAATGATAACGAGATGTTGCCTGTCCTTAGCTTTGGGGTACACAGCAGTGAAATATGGAAACAGAAAAAAACAGTCTCAGGAAGGATGCAAAGTCCCCAGCTCCCTCACAGCCCCCTCTCCCTTGTGTTCACGGTTGGAAGGAAGTTAGTAATGATGGTTACTATGGTAACCACATCTTTATCAATGCCCATCCACATGAGATTTGCTTGCCCCCACTCCCAACAGTAACAAGGTCACAGAAAAAAAAGCAAGTTTCTCGACCAGTGTTTAAATCTTCCTAGAAGGATGTTGACCAACTGCTCCTGCACCCCAGCGTTCCCCAAAAGGGCTTACTAAGTGATGGTTGGGGTGACCTTAGAGGGGAGGTCTGCCCCTCCAGTGGTGGAAACCCTTCTTCTGGACCCCACCTGTGTGTCCACTCCCCACTTCTCACTCCACTTCCAATGACTTGTCAAGCGTTTCCAGGGCTGGTCACACCTCTGCGAACCGTACTTGTGTTTTTCAGGAACAGGCCCATGTCTGCAGCTTGGAGCTGTTGTTCAGTTTGAAGTATAAAGGCTCTTTGCATGGAGCTAAATTTTCTCCCTTTTGCTCAAGCATACAGGGAGGTTCTTATCATGCCCCAGCAGGTGTGTGGGAACCCCCTTGCTGCTCTCTGAATCCAGGAAGGGGGCTTCTTTGTGTAAAGCCGCCATCTACGCTCCTGGCCCCCCTCTCCCTGCCTCTGAGTTTACTCTTCCCTCTCTCTCCTCCTTCGGATTGCCTGGAACTGCTCAGGCAGTTCATTCTTGTCCATGCTGCCCAAAGGTCCTTGGGAGAATCACCTCTATTCCATTATATGCTCAACTGCTAGTCCGAAACCAAAGCGCTCCTAATGTGGAGCGGGGGCAAGAACCATGGTGGTGATGATGACACATTTTGTTTTCTTTTGCTGTTTTTGTTGTTGCTTTTGTTTTTCCAAGATAGGGTCTCGGTACACAGATTCAACTAGCCAATAACTCACCATGTATCTCAGGCTTATATTGGCAAAGTTACTGACCCTTCTCATCAAGGACCCAACTTCTGATCCCCCTGTCTCAGCCTCCCAAGTGCTGCCGTGGGCCAGCGCCAGGCCTGCAGCACTGGCGTTTGTGAGGCTTGTGTGGTCCAGCGCGGCAAGTTCATTGTTCTTCAGCTGCATCTCTCCAGCAGCCACGGGAAGAGTCCTATCATTATTCTCATTTGATAGCTGAAGAAACTGAGGTTGGGGGGGGTGATGCTCATAGGGCCAGCTCCCTATGCAGCAGGTAGAGGGGCTGGAGAAGTGACGGAGCATCACAGGCCGAGTGAAGCAGGACCCAGATGAGGGCTTTTGGTAAGGGATGCTATGCAGAGCTGAATAAGGGCTGGTTTTCTTCGTGTGGCTGCCTCTCGTTCCAGTTCCCATTAGCCACCTTCTAACACTCCCAGAAACACACTCTCACCCACGAACCTGACCTGGGCTCCTGGCCCCAGCCCCTGTGACCTCTACATCATGAACCATGCTCATAGTATCAGCTCTAAGTCCCCCATCCCTCCCACCCTAGCCTTGGGCTTCTGGAAGCTGCAGATGGCCTCAGAGCTGAATTCAGCTTCCCACCATGCTGCCTATCTCTGTAAAACCTCCCAGGAGAAGAAAGAGTGTGGAGCCTAAGCGTTTGTGCTCTTAATCAAGGGGAAGCTGCACCTAAGCAGTGGGATAATGGTTAGGTCCCAGCAGGAGAGAAAAGTCACTAGGGGCCAACTCAGAGGATCACCTCCAACACCTCTGCTCCTTTGCCTAGAAAGCTCCAGTCCACCCCCCTTGCCCCAGCTGGTCAACAAGCCCCACCCTCTTGTGGATTTCCAACTCTTCCAAAGAACTCTGTAGAACATCCTAGAAGAAAAGACAACTGCCTCATCCCAGAGGAACCCAGTAATCACCTTTTCCTTTGCAGACAAAAATAAATGCATAATTCATCTCATGCAATTCTCTCTGCACAATATTTATTGAAGTATTTTCTCCAGGAAGCATGGCCTCAAAGGTTATTTATTTGGGAATTAAGACCTCAGGGACACTAGAAAGAGAGGCTAGAAAGATCCTCTCCCCCCTGCCATGGCACCCACAGAAGTAAAGGTAAATGCTTCCTCGTTGTTCTTTTGGTATGTCTGCAATTCCATGTGCCCTTGAAGAACGTGAACACATTCTTAATGATTCAAGTTGGAACATCTCTAGAGGGACCTTGCTCTCCTGCTGTTGATCAGATTTTGAACTCGACTTTAGTGGCTGACTGACGTTGCTGTACAGGGAAATCACCGGGGAGCCTTAAAAAAGAAGTCACAATCTTGGTTCACACCCCGAGCTAGTGGTATCAGAATGTCTAATGGTGAGAGCCAGACATCCATAGCTTTTTAATGATCCTCAAGAGATTCCAATATGCAGTAAATTCTGAAACTTGCCTTACCGCTGTCTGAGTTCCCTCCCGTAAGTGCTAACGCAGACTGGTGACCTTAGCTGTAGACACAGCTCAGCACTGGTACCTGGGTCACTCAGGCTCGGCTGTAAGAACCTATACGACTTGTCACTATTCATGGGATCTTGAGACAAGTCAGGCTTTGACGTTCAAAGCTGGTTCTGATCACTGCATTCCTTCCTTAGGTCCTTTCCTATCCTGTACACAGATGCTGATAACTGGGCTCAAACAGTACTGACACTTGTGACACACTCATAATAGACTGTGACTTGCACACAAAACTCCCACTTAGCAGCTGGGGAGATGGCTGCAGAAACAGAGGACCTGAGTTTGATCCCCAACATTCACAGCAAAGCTCACAACAAACCAGATGTGGTTGTGCTTATCCCTAACTCCAGAACTTAGAGGGAGAGACAGGAAGATCTCTAAATATGCTGTCTAGCTGATCAAGTCAACATAATCAGATCCAGGTTCAGGGAGAGTCATTGTCTCAAAAAATAAGGTGGAACATGAGAGGAAGACATACAACATTGACCTTTTGTTTTCATACGTGCACACATGGGTACACACAACCACACACACACTTGTGCATATGTGCTCTCTCTCTCTCTTTCTTTCTCTCTCTCTCTCTCTTTCTCTCTCTCCCCCATTTCCAAAATTTTCTTGGGAGGCAGAAACAGTAGATGAACTGCATGGTGAGACACTGTCTCAAATAACAACAAGCAGAACTATTTAATTTTAATAACCCAGTCTGCAGACGAAATGGGTTAAGTCATTTTCTTCCATGGTTTCTTTCTATATTTGTTTCTCAGGACTGTCATAGTAAAGTGACACAGATTGGGTACCCTAACACAACAGAAATGAGAGCCTTTCTGCTTCTTGAGGCTAGAAATTTTAAATCAAGGTGTGGTGTGTGTGTGTGTGTGTGTGTGTGTGTGTGTGTGTGTGTGTGTGTGTGTGTGTGTGCCTTTGGGGGAGAGACTCTGTTACATGCCTCAGTTTCTACAGGCAACAGCAAATCCACAATAGTCTTTAGCTTGGAAATATGTCACTCTAATCTCTACCTCTGTCTTCCCTATGCCTTGACACCTGTCATAACAAGTGACAGCTATAAAGATCTTATTTCCAAATAAGGTCACACTCTATGGTTCCAGGTGGGTGCTGGAAGAACACTCTCCAACTCTATATACCTTCTCAATCCCAGAAGCCCAACTTTTACCCCAGTTCCAGGTCTGCCACCCACCGGCAAATTCAGATGCAGATGAAATTTCCTGGGGACCTCCAGCACTCAGTGCTTGCTTATGAACAACAGCCATCTCTGCCAGGCGACCAGATGTGTGTTCACCTAGCAGCTACTGGCTGAATATTCCAAGGACGCATATTATTAATCTTTCACATGTACCTGCAAGTTCCCCGAGGACAAGGATCCATACTTACCATGACTGGCCAAGATTCCTCTTTGCAGAGTAGCAGGGCAAAGTTTTCCATGCGTTGGTGTCTTCCTCCTTCGCTTAGTCTTACCACTCAACTGACTCTAAGGTTAATTCTCGTTTGTTTGCTTTCATCTGTCTTTACAGGCAATGGGTACATTGAAGGTAAGGAGCTAGAAAACTTCTTCCAAGAGCTGGAGAAGGCAAGGAAAGGCTCTGGCATGGTAAGGCTTCACTCCACCCCCACGTTTGGGTTTTCTGTGGTCTTGGTAGCTAGGCTTGAGAATGGTCTGTCTCATGATGCATCCAGTCAGAAGACCTGGGGTCTCTCTGGTCTTGACGCTTAACATCCTTTCATTTGTGACGATATAAAGAAAATCTAAGTTTTTCCCTAAGAGCATCTTATCTCAGTCTCCTTGGGCATCTTAGAGGCACAGCCATAATGAAAGCCAAGACTTGATGAATCCCCCAAACTACACAGGTATGCGTGTATGCATGCATGCATGTATGTATCTTTTCTTGGGGACAAAGCCCAGAGTCCTCGAGAGTTTACAATTTTCTCAGAGAGCCCCAGATGCCTGCAGTCTAAACGAAACAAATGTCTCAGTCTCAACACTGTTGACATTGAAGGGTTAATAATTTTTGTTGTGAGAGGTGTCTTAATATTGTAGTGTATTTAGCCAAACCCTTGCATCCACCCATGAGATAAACGTGTCCTAAGTTAGATGTGATGGTGCAAACCTTTAATCACAGCACTTGGGAGGCAGAAGCAGGTGGATCTCTGTGAGTCTGGGGTCACCATGGTCTACATTGTGAGTTCCAGGACAGCCAGGCCTACATAATGAAACCCTGTTTTTAAAAAATTGTCCTAGACATTATCAAATGTTCCCTGGTGAAAAATGGGGAGCAGAATCCAGTGTTCTAGACCAACAAAGGCTGGCTCCCCAGAAGGACCTAGAGGAAAGCTGAGGGCTTCTCAGAAGCCTCCTGTGAGCCCTGACCATACTGCCCACCCTTGGTACAGAGGCATCCTGGACTCCGACCTGTATACAGTGACTCCAGATCATGTCCTGGTCCTTAATATAGGAATGTTATTTCCTCCAGTACCAACCAGGATGAGTTTGCTAAAACATCCTGGGAGAGCCATGTGAAATATCAAAAAGCTAAAGTGACTGGAGTTGGGTTTTTGTGTCTGTGTCTAGTCTGGGATTTATAGAACCCACTCTCTCCTACAAC